TAACCCTTTTAAACGAATAGTAAACCTCCTCCTTCCACGTGCTCGGCTATAAACAGACTGGAATGAAACTTTTAGGATCGAAGAGATCAATGTAACCGCTTTCATTTTCTCCAATGCGTATATTGTTATCGGTTTTATCGTCAAAACATACTTTTCTTCATGTTCGCTATGAAGCGGTAGGTATATGTGTACATTTTTCTGTTGAACAAAATACAATTTCGAAACCTAATTTTTTTACCTCTACTAGTTCTCGAAAGAATGTGGTTTTTTACCTGATAGATTGCTCCACTTAACCTTCTTACATAGTGAGCTACTGCCGGTTACCAATAATAAAAAATCCAATCAAAGTATTTAACCTACATTAATTAAAGTAAAAGATTTACCATATTTACCAAAAGTGCACAGCGCTTTCTACCATCCGCACGTTAGTAAGGGAGGTACTGTATTGGGGTAAAAAAGACCCCCGACTTTTATACAAGAGAGACAATAAATAAAAAAAAATAAAAAATAAATATACGGAAATACACGTTTTGAAGCACCGATGATGTCGATCGGTCTGTTGGTTTGTCGATCTGTCGGTCTGTTGATCTGTCAGTTTTCTTGTCGGTTTGTCTGTCGGTTTGTCCGTCGGTCTGTCTGTCGGTTTTCCTGTCGGTTTGCCTGTCGGTTTGTCTGTCGGTTTGTCTGCCCGTTTGTCTGTCGGTTTGTCGGTTTTCCTGTCGGTTTGTCCTAGGGTTTGTCTGTCGGTTTTTCTGTCTGTTTGTCTGTCGGTTTGTCTGTCTGTTTGTCTGTCGGTTTGTCCGTCGATTTGTTTGTCGGTTTGTCTGTCGGTTTTTCTATCGGTTTGTCTGTCGGTTTGTCTGTCAGTTTGTCTGCTCGTTTGTCCGTCGGTTTGTCTGTCGATTTGTCTGTCGGTCTCTCTGTCGATCTCTCTGTCGGCCTGTCGATCTGTCGCTCTGTCTACCTGTCTGTCTGTAGGTACTCTCATTTCCTGCTAAATGGCTAGACCGATTGGAACCAAATTTGGTACACATAATCTTAAACATAAAAGGAAGAGCTGAAATGTTTTTCGGTAGAATCGCGGATGCGCAGATGAGCGGGTGGTATCTATTGCAATTTTTAAATTTTAATGTTTATTTCTTTTAGTTAAAATTTAGCTTGAACTATTTCCACTAATAGTAGGGAAAACAATTCGCTTTGGCTAGCACCCGCACACCTGCCTATGCACGATTCTGCCCTTTTATGTCTAATAATGTGTGTACCAAATTTGGTTCCGATCGGATCAGCCTTTTAACGGCTTGAAAAGAGAACCTCAGAAAAAGAAATTCAGAAGCAATTGAATACAGTTTGAAGAGAACATGAAGGGAATCCTGTCCCGTCCTGATTTCGCCCCTTCCTTATTTTCAGACCTCTGTTAATCCATACTTTTTAAAGGGTCGTTTCCTCAAGTCCAAAATTGTCCTAAAACCACTAACTTGAGATAACACGAAAGAAACTATTAATTGGTGTACTAGACAAGTACGAAAGCGAGACAAACGGTTGAAAATCTAACATAATAGCCTCATAAAGATGATAGACCAATATACTTGACCGCTTGAATTGATCCAAAAGCGATTCAAAACAGATCCCCCACTTAACCCCAGCGACGAACCGGTCCGCCGACATGTATCATTTTCCCTTTGTAAGTACCTCTCCGACCCTGTTTTCTAGATATTCGCACCCCGCACATTTTCATGATTTTTTTTGTGCACACCTAATTTTAGTTGTCTCAACGAAAATTTGTACTCCCCAAAACTCGGAAAAAAGCTTTAAACTAACGAATGTATTGTTCGTAATGTCTTCCACTAACTTCCATACCATAATACAATGTTTATTCAAACCCAGGTCCTCTTTTTAAAAACTCGGGAGCTGTTCTCCGGCATTCGGTGACACTTTTTGTGTTAGTTCTACAAATTTTCGTTGTATTTAAGACTATTTTTTGGTGGGGCCTCGCTAGCAGAGAATGAATGAAAACTCTCATAATAACATTAAGGGGTGAAAAAACGGAAAACTTACTTTTACAGGTCAAGAAGATAGAAGAATCAAAGAAAATTCTTTCCTAGTCATTTTTAACAGAATCTGAAATAGAAGAAATTTGAAGAAAATTTGAAATAAACTTGAATCGAACCTGAGAGAAATGTAATGGGAATGGGAAAGATTCAAAGAAACTTAGGAGTAAGTTGAGAGCAGAGAGGAACATAAAGGTGATTTGAAAAGAGCTTGAGTAGAATTTGATGCGAATGTAGAACATGTCAACAAAACCTTGAGAGAAACAATGAACATAAGAGTACATTACTGGAACGTTGAGAGCAATTTTAGACGATATAAATGGAGGTACTTGAATTGAACTTAAGGGGGCGAAAAAGAGAAAAGCTGGAAGAGAACATGACTTACATTTGAAGAACACTTGAGGACAAGTAAGCGTGGGAGAGATTAGATGAAGAAATTGAGTAATGGGAGTCCGAAGTTTAGAAGTAGCTTGAAAGAACCTTAATGTGAACTTTAAAGTAACTCAAACAAAATTGAGAAGTATTGGAGGAACTTATGATAAACCTTACGAGAACTTTTTTTTTTATCTTTATTGCAAATTTACAATCTACTTCATTTAGAGTATTAAGTAAATGTGATATATGACTTTGACTTGGAAGGGGAAGTGTCCACTGACAATTCACCTTATAGTTCACTATCACTTAGTGTTAGGGGGGTAGGTCAGCAGGCCAGGTTTTGTTTAATCTTCTGATGGGTGGTCCATCCCTGTAGAGGATTTCTATGAGGACGTTTGGATTACCTGTAATTCGTTGTTGGTACGCGGCAGAGAGTGGTGATTACGTCCGTGACATATGGAATTTGGAGGTCTTGATGGAGTATGAAGTTGCTAACGTACCATGGAGCGTTAACGATTGGTCGGAGTGTTTTGTTTTGGAACGCTTGGATTGGTTTTAAACGAGTGGGTTTGGCACAGCCCCAAAGCTGGATACCGTAAGACCAGATGGGTTTCACCATGGTTTTGTACAGCATCAGGAGTTTATTTCTGAGAGAAAGTTTAGATTTACGTCCCATGAGCCAGTACATTTGTTTGACTTTGTGATCCAATTGCTTCCTTTTCGTTTGGATGTGTTTCTGCCACGTCAGTCGTTGGTCTAAATGGAGTCCTAAGTATTTTACTACAGTGTTTACAGGTATGGGAGCACCGTTGATTGATACGGCCGGAGAGATTTCTCTGCGTTGGGTAAAAGTGACTTGAACTGATTTGGCTTGATTAATCTTGATTCGCCATTTGGAATACCATTCACTGAGCATGTCGAGTTGGGATTGCATGTTTACGGAGGAGGTAACCGGATCGTGGTCACTGGTTAGAGGAGAGAATAGCAACGTTATCCGCAAATGCCGCAACGGTTACGTTATGCAAGACGGGTAAGTCGGCAGTATATAATAGGTAAAGGAGCGGGCCGAGCACACTTCCCTGAGGGACCCCAGAATGTATAGGATAGTGGGGAGAGACAGAGCCATTGAGTTTAACAGAGAAGTTCCTATATCAGTGAGGTAAGATTTCAGGAGAAGGTAATAGTTGCTACTAACCACATTTTTGAGCTTGTGCTATGTGCCAAACTTTATCAAATGCTTGAGAGACATCCAAAAAGACCCCATTGCAGTATAGTTTTTCTTCTAAACTCTTGGAGATCTGATTCACTATGCGGTGGACTTTTTGGAGTGTTGACATACTTTCTCGAAAACCAAACTGATAATCAGGCAGTAAGGTTGTTAGGTCTTGGTCTGATTGAATTCGTTTAAGTATTAGTTTCTCAATTAGCTTAGACGGGATAGGCAGCAGGCTAATAGGTCTGAATGAAGATGTTTCATGTGGAGGTTTACCGGGTTTGTGCACCATGATGATTTCAGCGTATTTCCATGCAGTAGGAAAGTAGCAGAGGCTTAGTATTCGATTGAAGATAGTCGTTAGGAGAACAAGAGCTTTGTGTGGCAGCTTTTTTAAGATTTGGTTGGTGATTAGATCGTATCCCGGGGCTTTATGATGTTTTAGTTTCGATATTTCTGTTTTAACTTCAGAAAGGTTGATTGGTTTTATTGGCAGCGACAACTGGCATGGGATGTCAATGAATGCTTCAATATCGGAGAACTTAAAGAGGAAAATGATTTTACAGAAACTCTTTTGAAATTCTTTGTAAACTTCTCTCAAATTCACCTAAAGGTTTCCATGTTTATCTTAAGCTCCTCTAAAGTTCTTACTCAAATTCCCTTAAAGTAGGCACTTAGGCAGTTGCCCTGAAGTTCCCTTCAAACGCTACAGTGTTTTTCTAACATTTACTACTGAAATTAAGTTCTCTCGTGTTTATTTCTCCTCAACTTGCAATTAAATCCTTTAATCCAAGTGCATTTACCCTTTTACGTTTACTACTCAATATTCCTTGTTCCTATCGAGTTTATTTTAAACTTTTCTTCGAGTTGCTCCTCGTATTTCCCTTCTCTTAATTTTCTTATAAGCCACTATAAGTTAAAGCGAAGTACTCCTTAATTTGCTTTGAAACTTCCCTCAAGTTTCCTTCAGCTTCCATATTTATCTGTAGGGTTTATCAAGTTTTAAGAGAATGTATTATTTTTCCCAGGTCCCTCTTCCCCTCATGTATCTTTCAATGTTCCTGAAATTATCCTGAAATCCCCATGAAACTACCATCAAAGATGCTCTTCACGTTCTTCAAATTACCCCCACCGTTACATTACATCCTCCTCACGTTATTCAAGTTCCTTTCAATTTCAAGATATCCATAAATTCTTTTTAAGGCCCATGTCCGATACATACGAACCCTACAATTTCATTGTTGGAAAATATTTTGTAAACTAAGCCAGTCCCAAACCATGGTTTTGTTGTTAAGAGAGCTATATGGGACGTTAGCGCTAACATTAAGAGAAACCCTCATGCTAATACGAAAATTTTGTTTCAGGCACAACCAACCAAACCCTCTACTGCCAAACCGAAATGAAAGACAAGATCTACCACATCACCAGGGCGATCATACACGAAATATGGCTAAAGGAGTGGAATGAGGGCGACGAACAGACCTTCAACCCAGTTTTGATATCGTGCTCCCTACCAACGGGTTACATCCCTCAGACACTCTCAATCAACTCAGATCAGTGCACCCTAAGCTCACAGACTTTCAACATAATCGTCCCACGCGTACAAGAAACCAAAGACAATTACACAACGACAGTTTGCGTCAAATCCTTAAATTTCGTCGAAGACATCTCGGTGCGTTTAATGCAGTGGATCGAGATGAATCGATTATTGGGCGCGGACCGTTTCCATTTTTTCGTAGGTAAAATTCACAAAAACGTCCACGAGCTGCTAAGGTTCTACTCGCGTAAGCTCAAAGACCGGTTCGTCGTTAGGCGCTACCGAAATGTCGAAAGTGTTCACGGAAATGAGGACGATTTGGCGGAACAAAAAAGAAGATCTCGTCACTTGGGCACGTTAAACAATAAAAACGTGTCGCGAATGAGCTCGAGCGTCAACAATAAAAGGCCATTAAGAGATAATGATACATTTGAAACCGTTAACTACACCGAAGTATTTTATAGGGAAGTGTGGCAAAAAAGAAGAAATGAGGTAATAACATACAATGACTGCATGTACCGCAATTTACGTTCGTCACACTTTGTTATCCCGCTCGACATTGACGAGGTGATCATTCCAAGGGTATTTTACACGTGGAGAACTGCCTTGCGGCACATATTCGAAGATCACCCAACGCTTCACGAAAGATACGCATCGTTTTCGGTGCGAAACGCTTATTTCCTGGAGGAGTACGCCAGGAGTGCCAGTACGAACGTCTTCTTCTTCGACTACATCAAACGTAGCCAGTTCAGTGACGAGGGCGAATCTGGGAAAAGTTTCGTGTACGTCAAAAACACCCTCAGTGTCTTCAATCACTACTCGCTCGAAGCGCTCAAGCCCGGTATAAGAAGAACGTTTTTCCTCCCCGAAGATCTCCTACAAAAAAACCACTACAAACCGACCTGCTTGGTTGCACTGTTACCACAATGTACTAAATACACGTCTAGTCAAATTAGAATAGAAGACGCGCTTATTAATAAATATAGGACAGATTTCTTCAAAAATTACCGGGATGTTTATAGAATGTTTACTAATAAAAGTGATATATGAGTGTGCAATTAGTAACCACCTCATTAGAGAAAGAACTTGTTTGTGACTCGCTGCAAAAACGCACAACTGAACTTGTTTGGTCGTTTAGTGCGGAATTTACTTTATCAATTGGCATTAAAAAAAAGCTGAATGGGAGATGCCCGTCTTCTCATTAAAATAAAATGGCACGAATCTTTCATTTTCATTCGCAATTCAGGAGCTTTTCAATTAGTTTGAATAAAGCTTTAGTAATATCAGGCGGTAGTGTTTGACTAAAAATTCTGTCTTTTTTTCCTGAATGAGATCGTCTGACTGGTCTGTGGGGGGTTCACAAATAGTTTTGGACCATCCTCCAGATTTGCTAGTAAACAACTAAATCGTCTTGGTTAGGCCACCGGCCTAGTTTCTCCATTATTGGAAATTCCTATGGTTTCCGAAACACTTTGCATTTTTCGATCTCCGTTTAAATTCTAATGAAGCTTATAGCACCCTCCTTTTTTTCTTTTTTTTCCGTTCCAAGGATCGCCATCTCCATTTCGACCGTCTGTACACGGCAATGTCAATGTGTAATGCCTCACCGTATACGTTGGGACGCATTTTTCAAAATGCTCGCCGCTTTCCTAACGTGGACGTTTTTCTTTTCGGCCGCTCTTTAACCCATAATGAGGAAGAGGTGCACTTTCTAAAACTAGTCTTTTAAGAAGATTTGGTAAGACTCCGCTATCCGCTCCGCCCACTTTAAAATAAAGGGAATAATATATATAGGGGTATATATAGAGAGCAATTTTGGTTTTGGTTAAAGTCTAAAGTCACTAAAATCTAAATGTTCTGTTGTATTCAGTATTCACTATTCAGTGAGTGATCAGTGTTGGCAGTCAACGATTTGGCTATTCGGCATCGATCTGCAATTCGCTACATTGATGCCCAAAATAACAAATAGGTATCAGGTACTTAGTACTGCTACTGAGGTGAGGTACCTGCGTCCTGCCTTTCACGAAATGACGAAAATAAGAATTTTAAATTTTAAAAACAGGAATTTTTTTTGCCCATAACTTTTGATTGAGACGTCTAATCGAAAAAGTACGAATCGTTTTGGATTCTACGCACCCAAATTAATAAGAAAAAGTTTTTTCCCGAGAAATTTTGGTGCAGTCGATTTTTGGGAAAAAAGGAAGGTAACACTGCCTTTTTTTTTGCCCAAAAAAAAATTGTCTCAGATCGACCGGGAAAAATATATTTTTTCTCCAACCACCTGAATAAGACGCTATTTTGTGACAGTGTTCGGTACCTAAAATTGACGTTTTGCGGATTAATTGCTTTCACCATGGCAACTGTACAAAAAGTGGATACTTTTGGTCCTAGTACCAAAAAGAAATTGACCAATTAAAAAATTACAATCACGGAGATATGTCACATTGACATCGTTTTACATTGCAGGTTGTAAGATATTACTACCAGCATCAGCATCAGCAACCTGCAACCCAATTTCTATTTCTTACCCCCCCCCTTCTAGTACGCACTGGGTGACTGTATGTGCCACGAACTTGTTTAATCCCCCCCCCCCCCCCCCCCCGAATACATTTCTACGTACGCCACGGATTCTCACATAACGCAGCAACTCAGATAACAATCACTGCAAAATGAACAAAATCTTTCCTGTAACCTGAACCAATAACGCCGCATCCCACGGCTCAGTGGCACCATAAGTTTTCAAACGCATTTACAAATTCAGGACCGTATTTAAGGATAACAGAAAAAGATTAGAATGTACTCTAAAATTGTTACAAGCGATAAATAAGTCATCGGTAAAAAAGATCAAAAAGAGAAAAAAAATCTCTCAAATGAGCCTATAATGAAAACGTGCACTGCCATTTAAAAAAATTCAATTGTTTTTCGTTACTCATTTGTTTTCTGAAATAAAAACAACTGAATGCTGCTTTATGATGGAAAATAAATAATAATGTAATAATTTCATACAGAAAAATGTTGTATACATCCGATATTTGCCGAGATATATAGGTACTATAGTCTATACATAATGGGCACCCTATATAATAAGTAATATTCGACCGTTTATTTGTTTCTACAAAACCCTTGTTCTGCAAACATCACAGCATTAAATGTATTAATAACAAATTGATGGTTAGTACCAGAAAGAATAAATAAATAAATATACACTGCAAAACGCCGTACGTAGTATGCCATTTTCGCGCACAGTCTGTAAGCTTCCTACCCCAAAATCCCTGTTCAAGATCTGCATCTGCGCAGAATTGTCGAAGTTAGACTCTGGCCATAACGGCGCATCACACCTGGCACGGCACTTAGCCTCGCGCATTGCCGCTGTTTACTCTATACGGGTCCTCAGCAAAAGATTAGTTTCTCCTTGTTCATTGCGCCATCTACTGTGCATCTAAGGCTTCAAGAATACTGCGATCAATTTCAGGGTGCGAGGCGAAGGGCGAGGTGTCCTTGAGGCCACGCATATTTGAAACTATGGCTTGTTTTAATTAGACATACATAGAGCGTTTCGTATTTTTTCCATATTGCTCGCAGATGTAAGCCATGTTGCCGAACCTAACTATTCTTATCTCCTTTCATTTGTTTTGGTATTATATCCATCCCGTATATTATATTCTCACAAGCCATTGAAGGCGGGCTATTATTAGGCATATATATATATATGTTATTAGGTCGTCCGGGCGTGGCGCCTTAAATGGTGGGGACGACTTCACGCGTAACGTCCATTATCCTGACAGTATTCTTCTCCCAGTAAGTTATGACTTACGGCGTAGTGATATCCCTGGAAAGTATCTCAGTATTCTACTGTGTTTAATAATAGTATAATTTTTATTCAGCTGCAGAGTAAAGCGATGAACGTTTTATAGAGGGGTGTCGATGGTGTCCTTCTGTCCATCTGTCCGTCCGTGAACACGATAACTGCTAAACGCTTGGGGCGATTCGTTTCAAACTTTACACAGTTGACCTATGTGTCACATGTAACATAAACTTATTAAAAATGGGTCGGTCGCGACACAGGCATTTGTTTTTGGAACTTGGAGGATGTATTTTTCCCATTTTTTTGGTTTTTTAAGATTTGTGGGTGCCTACAGACACTTTTTTTGTGCTTAAATTAAAGCCAAGTATTTTCCTCGATATTGGGGTCGAAAATTATTCAGATCTTAACTTCCACAAACCGCTTGTAGTGTGCGTATATCGTTAGTTCAAATTTCGAAATACTCTGTATATAAAACTAGGCGTTTTGTCCTAAACAAAAGAAACGAAACCTTATGTGGCGCCATCTATTAATTAGAGAGCGCACGTCTTACAGGTACTTACAATTGCATGCAATTTTTGCTGCCATTTTGTGCTATTGTGTTTCGTGTGATAATAATTGTCGTCCAGTGTTTTAGGTAAATTAAACAAAGTGTAAATACTCTGTGATTTTATTGTGTAGTTATATATTTAATCGCAATTAAATGGGACGTAAGAAGAAGAAGCAATCGAAGCCCTGGTGTTGGTATCCTTTTTGCATAAAAGAAAACATGTAGCAGCAGCCGCGGCAGCAGTTGTACCCGTGTGACGCACACACTACCGCAATATGCTATATTTAACAAGTTGATCGATTTTATTTTTAGCATCTTGTTTTCCTTAACCAGATTTAGGTACTGCAACCGGGAATTTGAGGATGAAAAGATACTAATACAGCATCAGAAAGCCAAACATTTCAAGTGTCACATTTGTCATAAAAAATTGTATACCGGTCCTGGCCTCTCGATCCATTGCATGCAGGTACACAAAGAGGCGATCGACAAGGTGCCGAACTCTATGCCAAATAGGTCCAATATTGAAATCGAAATTTATGGAATGGAAGGTGAGTGTTGTCGAGGAGTTATACTCGCGAGTGATTGGTGCATTTTAGGTATACCGGCGGGTGATTTGAAGGAGCACGAAAGGCAGAAGCAAGGCGGCCCTGATTCGGACGACGACGAGCCCCTGCCTAAACGGCTCAAACCCGAAGGTTTACTCGGCACAGCGCCCGGTACTATACCGAGTCCGGGGTTAGTTCCCGGTCTCATGCCACCCACACTCCATCCAGGAATGGCCGGTATGCAGATGGGACATATATTAAGCCATATGGGTCCTCTGGGGCATCATTTTCTTCCACACGGGTAACTATCCAGCTAACTAACTTTGGTCGCAATACCTTCCGTAATTTTAGCGTACCGATGCTACCTCCGCATCTCGCAATGATGCAAGCGCAAGCGAGTCCGGCCAAACCTTTATTTCCGAGCGCCATCCCTGTATCGTCGCCGGGGGCGCCTGTTGTAGGAGCTGATTTTAAACCAATCAGCGCAGGTGAGCTTTATCAAAATTGAGTAGGTGATGTATAGCAATTGTGCGTGTTTGGTTAATTTCCATCATCTGCCAACACATTTTGTGTTATTTGTAACATGGAAAACATGGAAAGAATAACAAATCTGAAAGTGCCAAGAAATTTGGGCTGTTGCCAAACAAGTCATTAGCGCATATCTTAAAAAATGAGATAATTTGTACCAGTAGCCTTTTTGATTTTGGAGGAATGTGCACCTTCCTACTTTTGTCTCGCTTTTCAATTTGTCTACAATATTACAGCATGTAGCAGTCTGAAGAAAAGAAGGTTTCTTTTCAAATGTGGCTTATAATGTACTGAAATTAATGCCAATTTGCTCAATTCCAAGTTTCCTATTAGTTCTGCAGTATATACAGTATGTCACAGGCGAGGTCACAGGTAAGTATATCAGAAAAGTAAACTGGTAGAGAGGTAAAAACCAGCTTTTATTTAATAACACATGGAGTACCTCAGGAATACATAATGTTACTATAATTATACAGGGTATAGTAACTAAGTATTTAAAAAAAATGGATGGTAGAGAGAACCAAAATAGTTTTCCAAACGAATCCAGATTCCAGAATGGATTTTTTAAAAATCTTTTTCTTAGCAACCCTAACACAAAAATTTGAAATTAAAGGTGGATGTAGGTTTTTGGTATGCTCTTTCTGATTTTGTAAACATTTCATTAAAAATTCTACTTCACCTAACAAGGTTGTCCTCGAGTTTCTCATTATTTTTGTTGCCTGGTTAAGAATTGGAGTCAGGTGTTTTTTTTCAGATTTTAAAAAACTTTTGAATCTATTTTCATGGTGAACTCTAGATAGGTACTAAGTTTTTTTGGTAATTTTTTGGCATTGCTGGAGTAGGAATTTTGAAAAAAAATCGGAAGGGGCATACCTACCCAAAAACCTATGTAAGACCACTATGTGTCTTATCTATGGTTGTGAAATCAAGTGAAGAGGACACAAATTTTTAGGAAAATTATTTTGTTTCCTAATTATTTCAAAATAGTTAATTGTTACACTATGTATGTAAATTTAAATATAAAATTTGACTTTTTGCTTTTTTATTTTTTTTATTATTCTCTTTTTATAACTGTTTACAATGTTTTAATAAGAGAACATTCTTTGTGTCTGAAAGGGAAATTTTCATAAACTTCCTAAATTAATCCAGATATTTCCTTAAGATTTTCTGTATTTTACTTCCATTTTTTCAATAATTCAGTAGATAGTATTAAGGTAGGTAGAAATTATAACGATTTTGATTTTTGAAAAAGCTTTTTTGATTTTGATATTGATAAGAGTGGGTCCGTGAAGTTGTAGTGTCGACTTGAAATGAATTAAGTTTTAAGTATCTCATAATTTTGTGCTAATTTGTGGTGGTAATTTAAAATTTGGTGCTCATATTAGTGAGTGATTCAATTTTTTTCCCATGACACTCCCACTTAACACTATAGTGTTAACATAGACGTTTTCAATATTTTCTTTTGCTTTAATTTTGTGCTAATTTGTGCTGCCAATTTAAAATTTTGTGCTCATCACGTTAATGAGTAATTCATTTTTTTCTGATCACACTCCCAACTTCCCTCCCTGACGGTAACGGAATCAGTAAGTAACGACCTCGTGAATAACTTCCCCTACAGGTTCAAAAACGTGTTGAAGTTTTAACCACAGATGCTTCTAATAAAGGTATTTTGAAAAATTTTTTTGACTTCAATTGAATTTATCCCATCGAATCTTCCAACTTTTATTTGAAACTTTTCGTTAGCTCTGTTTGTTACTAAAATATTTGAACTTTTTAAAAATGGCGATTTTTACTTTTTCCAATTTTGCCAATTTAGTGGAATCTGTAAGTATAATAATAACAAAGTTATCTTTGATATCCTACTCAATTTAAGACACCCTGTATATTGCATTACATTTTTCAAATTTTTTAAATGATCGTCAGCCATTTTTATTGAATGGTATGGTATAGAGTTACCATGGATACAATACAATAAACAAAACAAAATCTCCACGAATCCATGCCTGCTATTTAAAAACCGTAAAAAATGTTTTTATTTTTGGTTCATGGCTAAAATGTAAAAAAATGTATGTTGTGATACATCAATGTAATCAGCAAAAAGAATACAAAAAATTGATGTTAATACAGGGTGTTGCATTTAAAAAATACCAACTTTGGGTTAAATCTCAGAAAATCAAGGCAAAATAGAACAAGTATAAATTGTGCACAACTCTTGTGCAGATAAAGCGCACTTTGTTAATTGAAATAGCTTTTGTTTTGACACGTTTTACTTTCAAAAACAGCATCTCAGGAAATAATTCGTGGGGGGGGGGGTCCCTCTTTTAGACAGCCAAATTTAATGACCGTCTGGCACACCTTCAAGGTATGGGCTACCTACTGCAAAAAATCCAGGACTCTAGGACCATTCCCCTAGAAGTAGTTCAAAACGGGAGAAGTGGGTCCGGACGGACGGACGGACAAAACGCAAACAATAGCACATTTTTTTAATTCTTAAAAAATGCGCTAAAAAAGGTGGTCCAAAAATTTGTTTGATGACGCCACTGTTCTACGTAAAATATCTAAAATAGGCAGTTTTTATCTTACTGAAAACCCCTCATAAAATCGTCTAAACCTGGGATACACTCTCGCAATCTCGATATCCTGAAACAACTAGGAAAACGGCAATTCAAAACAAACTACGCAAAAATAAATGTATGGTTTCTTTAAACTGCAATCAACCAGTCCGTTCCTTTATGTCAATAAAGTGTAATTTAGAACCATGATATTTGCTGCTTTACTTTTTTTTTGGTTGACCAGAAAGTCAAGAGTTTGGAAGGCTGAATCTTTCCTTGTACTACAGACTATAGTGAGGATATCGTATACAGGGTGTTCCATTAGAAAAAATTGGGATATTTTGAGAATGCGATTGTCAATTGTTTTCACCATTGTATTCAGCTTAAAAAACGCACTAGGTCTCTAATTTAACTGACCTTGCATTGGAAGCGTTACTGAATAATTTTATTTTTGGTGTGTATATCGGAAAAGCGTGGTCAGTCTTCTCTTAACAATAAAATTGTCTTATATTGTTATTCATTTTATGCTAATTTGAACTGAAATTATTCTCCATTGTATTGTTTTAATTTTCTTTGTTGGAACAAGGTTGCGTACTTGTTAAGAGTTGCGATTTATTATATATTAAAGTGAAGAATATTTTTTAATTGCATTTGGAAGAGCAGAATTGGCCCTGATATAGCTCCTTGAGGCACCCCATTCAAAATTGATTCAATTGCTATACTGTCGCCTTAATTTTACATATGGTTTAGATTCGTATCTAATCTGATTTGAGTGTAGGTGCGACAATTAGCGCTCCACCTACGACAAACAGCACGCCCAGCGGCAGTAACAGTAACACAGGTGATAGTAGCAAAGTAGGTACGATAGCGACGACGGGTGCTGCTAGCAAAATTATTCACCCCAGCGAGGATATATCGCTGGAGGAAATACGCGCGAGGCAGTCTAGGTATCAAAAGACAATACCCGACAAGGAAGACACAAGCGCCAGCATGAGTAGTAGTGCTAGTGAGGTGAGTTTCTGGTTACGCTCCGCATTGGCGGGCTAATCGTTGCAACTTTTACAGCAGTTAGCATTGGCTGTATCAGCCGCGCAACAGGCAGCCGTAAATCAGGCGAAGCAGGACGTCTTAAACCACGCGGCGATGCTGCAGAGATTTCAAAGGCCGATGGGTCCGCCCATGATGGCGATGCACGGTACGCCTACCACAATGCCGCTGGTAATGAGACCGATGCTACCCGGCCCGCCAACATTTGTAGGCGCCAATCTTATGAGACCGCCACCGCTTGGTATGCCACCAGGTATGTGAAATATTTTATAAGTGACCACAGATAAAACAGATCGAACGGACCATTTATTAAGAATGTTAGAAGTTTACGTTAGGGCTTGTGTGCGGAAAAAGCGTACAGTGTTTTGCATTTTTGAAAGGGAGGAGAATCGTTAGTGACGTAAATATAATCTTAAGACTAATTAGGAAGTAATTTTTTATGTAACTTGCGTGTTATTTCCGTTTTTAGACCGCTAGTTTTGTTTCGGCGCGCGCTCGCGCGATTTGTATTTTCCAGCAGATCTGTCGACGCTTAGAGCGGTAAGTCGGGCGATTGACTTCTAACTTAGTAGGAGCAGTTTTGTAGGTTATCGGATTCAGTTGTGCTCTAGAAATGGAAGTAACATTGAATTAGTTTATTTTTTTACGATAAGAATTAGAAATCAGGCCATACATTTTTGTAGAGCGAACGTAGAATTGTAATCCTAGCAATATGTTAAATACACTATAATTTTTCTAGTATTGTGACTGTTTTTATAATAATAAATCGAAGCAAAATTTGTCTGCCTTCGCAATTCGTGACGTACTCGAGCTGCCGACAGGGGAACTTTTACAATTAACAGCTTTGTGAGAACTGTAAGCGATAATTTAGTTCTTTTACAGTTAAAATTACATTTTATTTACAGTTCCACTTACTTAAAGTTTAACTGTAAGCTATTAAATTATGACAAAGGTTCTCGATGGTAGCCTGTATACCACGAATAGTACCGACAACCATTGGAGCATAACGTTGGTTGGTGATAAAATAAATGCACTAAATGACTTTTTGATCTTTTGAAAATAATTGCATTTCAATATCAAGTGTGAAGAACGCGAGGTGGGTACAAACGCAAATCAGCTAGGGACTTTTCATTCTCAGGTTTGCTCCACAATGTCACTACTATTCGTCGTAAACGGGCTACATAGATAGGACAATAACGATTGCTTGAAGCATGTCTGGTTCTAACAAAGCTGGGGGGGGTTTTGCTTTCATTACGTTGGTAACCGGCGTAGATTTAAGACGTTTGTGTGTTGTTTTTTTTTCTAACCTTTTTACTAAGTGAATAAACACATGTGCAAAAATGCGCCAACCTATTGACTTTTCTTGTGTTTGAAGATGGGACACGGTGGGGCGGTGTGGCCTCGGCCCAGGTACTCACGCACTCTGTGTTCGCATGCTGCATCATCTCTGTCACTTGCTTAGTTTGCCAATGGTTTTACTGTCATTGATTGCATTATGATACATCTGACTGCGTTTATTACTTAGATGTTAGAATATTGTCATTGATCCGAAAACCGAACGTCACGGGACTACGGGCGGGCTTAGAAGATTTTTGCCAAAGATACCGGCGCACAATTTTGGTTACGTTATTCGCTCTCCGTTTGTAGCCAATGAAAGTTTGATTATTCAAAATGGCTTCCTTTCTTTGATCAGTATTGACCTGCGCAACTCTTCTCTTCTTTGAAAACTGATTTGTGCTACAAATTTAATGCTGTTATTTTCTATGCAACAAAAATTAAATCAAGTTGAAGAGGTGAGCCCCTCGAATGTTGCTTTTTGTTTTTTATTCTAGGGAAGTTTTGTGCTTGTTTGTGCCACAAGATAAAAATATGCCTCCTCCATTTTCCAATATTAATAAATTGTAACGAATTAATTTTTTTAAATTAAATTATGAAACTACGTGCACCTTAAAAATCAATTTCAGAAAAATTCAATAACTCCCGAAAAACTGGAAACGTAAACAATAGTTGCGGTCACAATTCTAAATTAGTTAATAAAATGTAGGAAAATTTAAAAAAAAGTAGCTCGCGAAACAAATGCGGAATTTTGGCATATAAAAGCATAAATAAAATTTTAATTCCGAAAGGTTTAGATACTAGAAAAAATTCTAAAAATGCGGTTAAGTGTACACAAACATTTGAAGGTGTTTTCTGTAAGGGCGAAGTAACATTTTACTGAGAAAAAATCGAAAAGGAAAAATTCAAAAAATCATGTATCCAAAAAATTCAAAGTTGTTTTTTCTAACAACGAACAAAAAAAATCAGGTAGATTCAACATAGAAATTTAAAAAAAATTCGCAAAAAATTTTAGTCTGTATACAAAAAATTTCAAGTTGTTTTCTGGTTATTCTCTGAGGAAAAAGGAATTGGAAAGTTAGGAGTATAAAAAACATTGAGGTTTTTTTGCCATAATTTTTCCCAAAGAATTTAAATTTGGAACTATTCAAAGAAATAAAAAAATTCAAACAATTTGAAAAATAAAAAAGTAGAAAAATATTACAAAAATTTAAAGATTTTCCTGCTTGAAAAAAACATTAGTAAGTATTCGAAAATCGTATTGAGATTTGGGATATTCAGAATAATAAAAAATTACAGTGTGTGGTGTGGAAAAAAAAATAAAAAAATCGTTTACTGTCGGGCATGCTTTGGTTTTTTATTATCGCGGCCTATCTGTTTATAAACATTAATTAATTAATGTGAATTAATTTTGTGAAAAAAATTGAATAACCTAAAAACTAAGGGGTTTAGGCACAGGGCAACCCTTATAAAAATTGCAGGGCACACAAAAGACTATCTAATAGCGAAATAAAATAGTGGTAATTCCATTTGAAAAAAAAATAGTTATGTATCATTAAATTCAACTTTTTCATTACCAGAGTATTGCCTTTTATTCAGATGAACATGAATGATCAAATGTATTTCTTAACTTTAAAATCAAGGTCGCTATGATTTATCAAAGTGGGGCTGGCTTATAGAGAATTATTCAGAAAAAAATTAATAATTTGGCAACATTGACAAAAAACTAAATAGTGAATAAGTTTCTATTCAGAGGTTAAAAAATGACATCGAATCAGTTAAAAATATACAGGGTGTTCCATTTAAAAAATCAGCTATGTATTGACTGTAAACATGAGACACCCTGTAAATTCAAAAATTATTTTTGTAGATGCGCAACCATTTATAGTTGGCATTTGCACAAAGGGTTTTTTGATATTGTTTTACCAGGTACGAGTTAGGAAAGACCTACTGTTAGTGATAACCAAGAATATGTTGGTTTAAACAATCAAGGGCCAAACGATTAAAGATAGCTGACTTCTGTTTGCATCAGTGATTTTCTCTGTCAAATTGAGCTGTAGATGCTTAGGTCCATTTTTTTCTCTTAAAATAAAAAGGGGTGCTTCCATAAGAAAGTCACCAATTTGGACCATCCTGTACACAAAAAATTCATTTGGGAAAGGTACAGGAAGCAGCGATTTACGCACTTACAATGGAATTAAAGAGAATTCAGGAAAATTAAAAAAGTAGAAATAGCTAATTCAAAATCTTTAAAAAATTTTAAAAAAACTCGCAAAATTGGAAAATGTTTTACAATTGTTACACTTAATTTTACACAATTCAAATTCGGAAGTATTCTGAATAATGAAAAGTTTGCAGAATTCAAAAAACAAATTACAACATAATTGTTATTAAGAAGTAAAAGATTCAATGTAATTAAGTATAAATTACAAGAAATTACACAAGAATCCATGTGTGGAAAAATTCAGGGGAAATTGTTTAAAAGTTGTTTTTTCGCAAAGAGAGAAACAATGATCTAATCGAGTGCACATGGAAATTTAAATAATGAAAAAGTTTGGAATAATTCGAGTAAGTGTATACAAATCTGTTAGCGCTGTTTCTCTTGGAGGGGGGGGGGGGGGGCATAAGAAAAATTAAAAACACGAAAATGCATTTCAGAAACAGTAAATAGAAAAACGCAGATGGAAAATCCTAAAAATTGAACAATTTAGAAAAATAAACAAACAAGAAACCTGACTGTTTATACAGCAATTTAAATTTGGAAAAATTCAGAGAAATAAAAAATGTAAAAAAATTGTAGGGTGAAAATCTGAAATTGCTTTCCCATGAGGAGGTAATAAAATGTCTATAAAATTACATGAGCACAGAAATGTATATCATAAAACTTGGAAAATTGAAAAAATAAACTAGCAAAAAAGAAAAATTCAGAAAAATATAAAAATTAAAAATTGAAGGTAACAAATATAAAGTTTAAAAAATTACAGTGTACACACAATTTCAGAAAAGTCCACGAATTCCAGAAGTGAACACAAATATCAATTCACTGAACTCGAAAAAAAAGGAAAAATTCAAGAGATCCACTGTAACCAACAAATACACCAAAAGTTATTTTTCCTCATTGGAGAAGCAGTTAAAAAATCACGAAGAACTTTAAAAAAATTGTTCGAAAATTTTGATAAAAAAAATAAACTGGCAGAAATAAAAGATCTCAAAAATTGAACAATTCTGGAAAATGTTACAATGTTAGAACAAACTACACAAAATTTGAAAATTGGAAAAATTCACGCGAAAGGAATTGGGAAAATTCAAAATTATCAAAAAATTGATAGTGTATGCAAATATAAAAATTCTATTTCATAAAGGTCCAGGTATTAAGAAATTCGAAAATTAATAAAATAACTCGACAAAAAAATCCTAGAAATGCGCGTCAGTACACACAAAAATTTCTCCCGTGATGGTGAAACAAATAATTATTCAATGAACTTTGCAGAAAATAAAATTTAAAAAAATAAACTAAAAAATTGTGAATTGTGAAGTTGGCTTTTTCTAAAGGGAGAAAAAATTGTAAAAATAGGTGTACAAACATTAGAAAATACTAGCAAAATAGAAAAAATTCAGGTAAATAAAAATTAAAATAATGCAGAAAGTGAAAAACCAAACAACCATGTAAGTGCACAAAAAAGTGTAGGTTCATAAACTGAAAAAATTAAATTTAAAATAATGCTGAAAGTTTTGAAGTGGTAATATGTGAAAATTTAATATTTGGGGGCTTAGTTTTAGTTTTTTTTGTTGCCCAAATTCCTACTCAAAATAATTTATGTGTGGCACGAACAAATGTACAACGCTTTCATAAAAGGGGGGGGGGGAAGGGGGAGGCTGTATTTATGATTTTCTACAACACCAAGACTGACTGTACAGGTTGTAACAATCAAGTATATAAAAAAATGTAAATATAAAAGATATTTTTATCTAAATAAACTGAAAGTCCAATTTAAGAAATTTGCGTAGATTTTTGGGTATACTCAAAATCCCAACTTCTAGTAACTAAAAAATCGCTTCATTTCTAATTATTTCGAGAGGTGAAGGAGAAATACTTCGTTTCGGTATTAAACTGAATTGCTTTAGGCCCATTATACTAAAAAAAAACTGCAAATTTGAAATGTGATTCATTTTTCCATTTTGAAAAATCCACGAAGAGCTCATGCGCCCCATTTAGGAGTGGAATTTTGGATATATATATTTACAAATTTTGAAAGGGTACATCCAAAAACCTAGGTAACTCGGCAAATTCCATTTTTACTTGTTATGGTTCCTGAGAAAAAGGTCTGGAAGAAATGTACAGTTAAATTTTATCGAATTTTGTTTTCAGTAGAACACTAAAGAAGGGACAAGGAATTTCGTTATTGCGTGAACAGTTGCTCACTCATCCAGAAACATTTTGTTTCCCAAGTATCTCGATCGTATCTTCTTCCGTTTGAAGCATTATGAAATAATCAAACTGAATCTTCGCATATAAACTGTACAAAATCACCCGAACTTTTTAACTGTGTGAATTTTGTAGATCTCTCATTTAGCTATGTGTTTTTTATCAATGTTAGGCTTACACCTTAATTTTCCTTTTCTTTTTTTTCGGAGGTAAGTATTTTGTATTAGTTTTTTTTATTTCTTACTATTATTTAATGCAAGATTGATATTACCTTAGTAACATTATGCAGGTAGAGAATTGCTTCTGAAATATCTGCCTGTCTTATTATTAAACAAGTGACAATATTCGAACATCTGCTTTAGAGTAGTTACTAAACTTTCTCAATGTGATTGATTGTCTTTTGTCTCAGGATTGATTGGAATGCCACCCGGAGTTATGTACGGAGCGCCAGTTCTGCCGGGAGGTCATATGTTGACGCCTATGATGCAACCTCGGTTTAGATGATCTCCAGTCTACCTGATTTACCATCCGCAAGTTTGAATTAGCTTTATGTTCTTAGATATTTATTACTAAGCAAACTTGACACTTTTGTGACAAGTGGCCCCCCTAGAGATTGTTCTAAATTTTTGAGTCATTCAAATGGGGCCACATTTTTTCTATTCAAATGTGCATGCTTTTCAATCAAAACCTTGCAATGTATGCATATTGACACTGTTTATTTTTGGCAGGTTACTCAGTAACTTATTATCGCCAAACGGTATGTAATTCACTGTTTATTATTACTCGATCATTGTTAATTCGGCATATTCAAGGTTAGTGTTTTTATTTTACTTATACTTTCTAGGTGCAATGCAAAAAACCTGTGCTTAGATTTTCGACACGCGCACACACGTGTTTTACGAGTTGGGCTCAACCGTTATTCCTTTTCTTCTCTTTCGAACGATTTAGTTTCTTTTGTTATAAATTAGTAGTAATCGTTAGCGAAGGAATAATAAATTTTGCCCACGGAGTCAGGTTTGTACCACTTTTATTTTTATTTTTGTCGTTAAAATTGAACAAAATTTTCAAGGTAAGCCTTTTTTAGTTGTTTCTACTAAACCATCGCTTAGAGTCAGCACAAAATTAAAAAAAATTCGCATTCATTTGTACAGTGGCCTCGAGCTTCTTTTTTTGGTTATGTAAAGGTACTCGCATGAAAGCCCAAATGCCACTGTCGTCCATTTTTCGTTTCATATTAGTAATGCACTTAAAAGCAACGATTTACTGCTTTAAATTTCTGCGACATTTCTTAAAGGTAGGTTTTTTGTAGAATGTGCTATAAATACAATCAAAACTTTTATAATAGAACAGTTGAGTATAAGCAATTTACTGCAATATATTTATTATATTTAGCTGCAACATCCACACTGCCGTTTAGTTAGATTCTGTGAAGGTACGACGGCTTTTATTATACTACTTTTACTCTGGTGCAAGGTGTAACAAATCAAAATTTTCATACAGTTTATGTAACAAAAATTAGTCGTAATAACGAAATGTATGAAAATTTTCTACATATCTATTAATGGGTTGTTAATGTAGAGGCAGGCGACTTTCCTGTCACAGCAAAGCTGCTGTTGGATTGTTGACCCCCTGTTTTTAGTGTTTTTGGATTGTTTTGCACTCAAATCGCTAACGGAAGTAACAATCTCAAGGCACTGCAAAACAGGTGATGCGAATGTCACAGTGCAGGCATGTAACGTGATAGGATTGCCGAGCTGTTGGGTCCCCAATCCCCTGCTGATGAGATTGTGGCTTGAAAGACAAGTAAGGACAGGCGATTGACTGCTTCGTTTTTTCGAAGTGATCAATCACAGCGTTTGCCTGTTGGACCAATAGAAAATGCATCGAGATTATTTATTTATTAATTTAAATTAAGAAATATTATTGCATGTATCTACTGGTCCCCTGTTAACACTGCTGTAAATGTATTTGTTTTAATTAGTAAATGTTTATCACGATCTTGTAAAATCTGTTTTTCCATAGCGAACAATAAAGACTTTCCTGTATAATGACGTATTTCATTATTTCTGTGCAGATGTAGAGAGTTGTATATTTCCGTGTGCACTTAGCACTGACCTTTTTGTTGATAGCTTAAAACATTGCTCGGTGCACACAATGTCTTCGTTCCATCTGCTTGTAGTGGTAAAACCTGGGACTTTCGCTCTGTGATTCGTCTGTATGTTCCGCACATTGGATTGTTAACACTGCTTTACATGTGAATGGTAATTGCATCACATTTTTACTCTGATAGTCGATGGAACCGTTGGACAATCGCGTAAAAAAGTGCTTCGACGCCTGTCTAAGAAGACTTATTTTGTAACAAGTTGTAATAAAGATTTATTTGAGCTTTGAACTTTGTTTTTTTATTAAATCTCCCTTACAGGATAAAATTCGTTGCTACTCTGTTGTGAGGCGAGTCCGCTAAAACCGAACTTATGTCCCATCCAAGAAACATTTGATGACATGATTAACTTTTTTCACTGAAAAAGGATAAAAAACCTTGATGCCGAAAAATTTCCCAACATTATTAAAGTGCCCTCTATCATTTCTGAAAAATTAGGGGTACAGTTATTCTGGGACATCCTGTATATTTACAGTGGTGTATCTAAGGCCTCTCTGTGCACTGCAACTGCGGTCCAGAGGTGCCTAAATCTCATTTAAATTTAAAAGCGATAGGCTTGAAACGAAAACAACGGAATTACAAACAGTTCCATAAAGAAAAATAAATACCGGAAAACAACTTCAAATGAAACAAACTGATTTGGTGTTAATTTGGTAAATAATCCCACAGATTTATTTATAAATTGAACTATTCTCATATACATGATGCCCCTTTATTTTATGTGGTTAGGCCGGTTACATCTAAATAATGACGTGTTACAACATGGCTCTCTCAATGTTGGAAGAGTATACAGAGTGCTATTCAGTTAGAAGTAGACAGGGATTTCCTATGTCTACTTTTAAATGACAAAAACACTTCTGTAACACGCCTAATTTTATGCAGCCGAAATAACATGCACACGCATTTTGCATTCTCAATTTTAATTAAAAAAAACGACAGTAAATAGTTTGCTTTTAGGTTATGATGAAGAGGTATTAAATTCGGCCGTTATTTCCCTTAAGTCTCTTACGCCCCTTAAACTATTACTGGCACTATACCAATTGATAATATTAACTTTTTTTTCAGTTGAATATATCGTACACGAACAAAAATAAAAATAGTGAAGCCAAAGCGATATAATAGTAGGAAATCCCTATGTCTACTTTTAAGTCAATATCACTATAAATTCAGTCAATATGATGACCAAAAGTGCTGACGTCTAGATGAGGTAAAAGGGGGAGGACGTGAAGTCGCAAAAAAGGACATTCTGTCTCGAAAACTATGTCGTGTAGAGAAAATTATATGACGTAGGTATTGAAATTGTTAACGAATTCCACTTTTCCATATATTATATTCCCTGATAGCCGCTAGCCTACAACTGCATATAAACGAAAATAATTTGACATTCCACACTATTTAATTATACCTACAGGGTTGCTGATTAAGTAGTCTGGAAACGGTCGATTATCGGAGAAAATATGTACAAGGAAAAAAAGTGTTATACAAAAGATTTGAGGTTCTTTAATGGCTACTAGGCAGTAGTAATTTTAATTATGGTCATAAAGGCGTGGCACACTAATATTGCATTTTTTAAATAGGAAACCCTGTACGTTACTTTCAAAAATGTTAAATGTAATCAGTGTAATAATGCAACCAACAATAAAAATATTTTAAGAAATCGACCTCTAACACATAATATTTCCAAAGTGCAATTATAGACAACCAACCATAAGGATAAGTTACAGAATCATCGTCTAACACTAACGCATAAACATTTCCAAAGTCTTTAATTGTGAACAGTGCAATTACACAATAAAAAATGTATAGGTACGCCATTCTTTGACCCACTCCATATTGAATAACTAACCCTGCTATCAGTGGTAATTGGGCTACAATTCATCGTTCGCCTAAAGCACACAACCTTCCCAAACATTTGATTTGCGAACAGTTTCATTGCGCTACTCGCGGTATATTTACATTGACGGCTATTAAGTGTGCTATTATAGGTAAATAGTAAGAAAAATTAAAATCGTCATTTTTATTAAAACACGACATATGGAAAAGTACAGATTGTGTAATTTGTGGCCAGTGTAATTATCCCACGAATAGTAAGGTCGTTTTAAAGCATAATCAACGTAAGGGAATGTCGGCGAGTTGTACACGCCATTTGTAAATTATACCTACCATCGCCTCTATAGTGTTAGATATTCTGAATCGCCTGTAGTTGTGGTTCTTTCAAGCAGAGACCATGTGAAACTGCCCTGTTAGCACCACTAGGGTTATTTAGATGCAACTCTGAGCGTGTCATCAAGAGATTTGTTACAAACTACCTACTCTGTTCTTCTTGCACGATAGAATGCTTTTAGCCCTCGCGACCTCCATTATGCCATCAGAGCTCTAGGCGCTCCCGCGATACATTATCAATGCTTTTGTTTCCTTCGGCCTTCCTTGCGCTATGTACTCGCAAAGGGAGAGATGTTCGCTCTTTTTGGGTCGGTCGTTCTTCCGCTCTACCTCCACCGTGCGCGATTTTACGTCTCTTGTCAACCGTACCTACTCCAGTGCTCGCGCACTAATTTCAATTATCAAATTACTAATTACATCCCCCTGGCACGGATAACTTGTCCCTTGTTCCTGATATCTAAGATTACAGTTGATATTCGAAACTACTCACGGCATTAGATGCGTTTATTGAATCGGATAAGGAGAATAATTCGAGGCAAATTTCTTCATTCATTTTGGCGTATTGTACACCATGTACTTTTTTCAGACGTAGATGTGTCTCCTCGTGTGTCTCGGTATAGTTATTTAGATAAAAGTGTGGAAAATGTCACATTGCAATATTGCATTGAAATATTGATAATTTCCGAGTCAGGTAATGTCATTTTACTGACGAGTTTTGTATTAAATTTTACCCGAAATCATATAAAATTTCATGTTTCATATAGAACTTTTGATTAATGTCAATCTGTCAGTGATGACAGGAGTCATTATAGACATTTAGAAATGTCACAAATGCGACCGGTAAAGTGACGGTGCGGCCGGTAAAGTGACAGATGCGGCCAGTAAAGTGACAAGCGGCAGGAAACGTAGTCTGCTCTGCCTCTGTCATGGAATCTCAAATTTCCTGACAGAAAGTAAGCATGAAGATGAAGGTTTCAAGACAATTTTGGGTAAAATGTTTTATTGGACGTGCGTCTATGACATTTGAAATGAATTGTTCCAATGCGATCGTATTTCTGTTTCACATGAAACGTTACATTTGAAACAGTCATGAGGCAAATGGTAACGTTTCATAGATAAGAAGTGACAATACATATAAAAGAACACAAGATGACATAATTCAGTAGACTCGTAAAATGATAAATTGCATGTAGCTAAAAAACATAAAATGAACATTACTCTGTTCCGGCATCGCATACCATTAATTTTTCACGAAAAATGCAGTGTTTAAGTTATAAAGACGTGTGTCACACAAACAGACGCACAGACTGAACTATACGCACGAGTCGAGAAAGGAACAAATACAGCAAAGAATGTGTATTATGTGTTCATTCCAGATAATCGCTTCTTTCATGAATACATAAATAAATATTTAATAAAATAATATAAACACATAATCACCTGTAAATCATAACTAGACAACAACGGTACCTACACACAAAACTAATCAAACCGTGACATGAAATATAACAATTGAATCCCAAGGTGGCGAGTACAATTATATAGAGGGTGATTCAAAAATAATACCAAAACCTTGAAAATTTGTATTTAATTGTAGCAACAAAATAGAACAATGGGTTACAAATCAAAACGATTGAGGGGGGTGGGGAGAGAATCGAAATCTTGCAGGTGCGTGATCATGTCCTAGAGCCGTATTGATCTGTGGGCAGTTTCACTTGCTCTTCCAACTTCCTTTCTTCAAGCATGCCCAGAAAGCAGATTCAAAAAATTGGTCTCCACGAACCGACCCTTTTTCTTGGACATCAGCACTAATGTCTCTATAATCCTCAAAAATACTTTCGGCGACACACTTGCACTTTGAGCTTGTTTTATTTTATTTTGCAGTTCTTGTCATTTGCAGTTATTTAAGCATTCCACATGCCATATTATAGTCCCAATAATGATGGCCTATGTTCCCCGTTATTGTCCTCGCCAACCTATTCAAGCTTGCTAATGGTGAAGCGTCAGATACCGTTATCACAGACTTATCTCATTCGGTTTTATCGATTACTCAGCTTTTTATCACCTGGATTACATGTAGGGTTTAATTAAATTAAATACGTGTAACTAACTTTGCGTTATACTAGTAAGAATCATGCCCCGCCCTCTAATAATAAAAATTGAAAATAGTAATGCCACGAGTCCTATTCGAACTGCTCATCGAACTCAATTGGTGGTACGTAGCAGGTCTGAATCGCACAGTGCCATGGTGCAGTCTAACGGTATGGTACGTAGTCTAATTAGTTTGTACGAATTTCCTGATGAGGGCCCAGCGTATATGACTAAGGCAAAGTCGTTGCAAAATTTGGGCGATCCGGAACCGTCGGTACGAAGATCCGCGCATATTGAAATGCCAGGAATGAAGACCTTTGACTTCAGGAGGGTTTGGAGCAAGTTCGAGACACATAATAAGCGCGAGACGGTGACTAATACAGTTAAAACCTCGCACAGTGGAATTCAGCAAAGAGCGGAGCAGCTGCTGCAGCAGTACCGTGGAGTTGAGGACAGGCTGTGGAGCGAGCGCGTCGTTGATTTGCTAAGGGACATTTGCAATAAGTGCGATCGTGGAAGTAGCGAGGAGGTGGTGGAAGAGTCTTCGACTACAGTCAATTCAAAAAGTCAAAAAGTTAGGGACATCGCCAGCCTTTACGAGCGAAAGATTGGTAATGGGCCGACGACAGTGAAACCAAATTTCGCCAAATACTTTACAAGTGCGACAAATCCCACTGATGCAACCAGTTTACCTAGCGAGGGTAGCGAAAGTGATTTAAGTGAATATAGTGAGCTCAATTCCAGCAGTGTGAACATAACCGAGTTGAGATCCCATTTCGAGCCTAGCAACGGTAAGTCTAATTAGGTCTCTCTGTGAACTAGTGCAGATCGTTTTTAGGCGAACGTGAGGTCGTACGATTATTACCCCCTCCTAAGATAAGCCTTCTTGAAGACGATCAAAAGGAAGACTCCATGCAGAGGATTGCCGCCTTAATTGATAACATCGAAAAGCAGCAGCAACGGATTGCAGCACTATCCAAGGAGGACTACGAGGAAGGGCCCAAAATCAATGAGGAGCTAATACAAGCGCTGATTAAGTTGGATGAAGTGCCGACCTTGGGAGATGTTACCTTGCAAGCGGAGCGTAAGAAAGCAATTTTGCTTGTGCAGGCTAGTATTAGACAGCTCATGGACAAAAGACGATCTTCATAAATAAATAAATAAATTGTATTAAGGCGCCCGTACCCGGTTTTTATTTAGATCTGGTAGTTTTTCTTCGTGTAATTTTTGAGTTTTGGTTAAAGTAAAAGATACCATATTAATAAAAGTAGATTCATATCCCTCTAGGTACTTCGTATTTCTTGCCGATGCAGCCCCAAGGTGAGAATTGCGAAAGAACATTCTCTAGATTTATTTGCTAATGGTCTCGATTTTGCTGATTTTTTTTAATACCACACACATCCCTGGTACCTGGACACAATTTGCATGTATCATTGCAAGAGTGTACTACATTGGTGCTTAATATCCTATGTCTCAGAGTCCAAAAAGATGTTGTAGCCTGGGTGGTTCCATTCAACTTCGACAACAAAATATATAGGAACTAGTGAATTGCTAATAATAGTACACAAAGATTCTACACAATTTTGTTAGCAGGATCTCACCCTCGGGAAGGATAACTTGTCCCTCGTTCGAGATATCCACGCTTACAGTAGTTGAGATTTGAGATCAATGACAGCTTTAGATGTCGATTTTTCTTAGTGTTTCCAATCTCTGGGACCGTCTCTTCACGGCAAAAAGTGTTAGTTTACATAGGTACAAGTTCATACAAACATAAAAAAATTCTATAACTTCCACATATAACGAATGACTATACATACTTATATCAAGACCGTGTAAACAAAACATAACCATAAAATGAGCAAACATTTACACCAAAAATGAAAATGATTTCAAACAATAAAATTTGACGGCATTTTCATACACGTAATCAAGCATGCCAATTTCAGAAACAACGATTAAAAACAATAAAATGGTGTTTACAGAACACAAATAAATTATAAAGAAATGCGAAGACTACTACTTGCGTTAAAAACACGAAAAACAACACTTTAACTCAAACTACAGGGTGGTCTCTCAACAGAAGCACAAAGCAAAATAGCTGTAACTTAAGAAGCGTATGTATTCTCGGGCGGCGCAGACTGCTTTCTCATTCTGAAAAGTTGCGCGAACACCATTAAAAAGGACGTTGATTCAGGATTCCCCTAGGTCGAAGTTCGTATTCGTGGTATATGAAGTTGACAGGAATTCAATACTGGATTGATACGACTTCAGCTTTCATGATGTCAAGGTACGCCTTTGGTGATACTGATAATAGATTAATTTTTTCAGAGATAAAACTGGTGCACGCGTAGAATATTTTATTTCGTGCGAATATAACTTCGATTCTAAGTTTGGGTAATTGTGGAAGAAAATTAATTTGCCGTCGCTCAAGTCTGCGATAGAAAACTACTCACATGCCGCTAGCTCGAAAATATGCAACGTCACTAGCACGAGGTTACGAATTACCCCATGCTCATTGGAAAATAAACCATGAACATCGCTCGCCTGTATTTCATTTGGGAACCTCGTCCTTGGTCTTGTTCAGAAGAAAAATGATGCTGACCCGCTTGAAATTCTAGTCTTTTAATAATGCAAGTAACACCCCTAACATCCTTGAGGTTGGAACTACGCGTTTGCGATTAATTTTCGTTAAACGTTTGCTACACGTGATTCCGTAACTTTTACTATCTTAAAAGTAATTGATTCCTCTGTAATTAAAATTCTCGCCAAAAGGTCTGTACGCTAAGGCTAAGTAATGCTCGGATCTCCGATACTAAGCCAAAACGGAACCAACGCAACACTCACGACCGACGTCTCCTTTTCGCGAATCGCACACCTCAAATTTATCTATAATCTGTTGCCTCAGTGGTAATGTTAAAGGGAACGAAACTTGACATTTCCCATGGGTACCCAGCTAAGAAGGGCCGTGACATTGGGGCAAAAACCTAATGTTACACTCATTTTCGTGAAGTAATGCGGTCTGAAGGGCCTATAGTGGTAGCCTGAAACACAAAAAAGTTACGAGGTGTGGCAGAAAAGTAATGAGACTAGGAACACTTCAAGCGATCTGGCAACGCTCAGTGCGAGTTTCAACTCCTTCCGTTAATCTGATTCTTGTGACTGCTATTGGTGAAGCTGCGTTTAGGTTGTGAGTCACGCAAAATGGAACAATGCAATTTTGAGCAAGGTTTTGTCATTAAATTTTGTGTTAAGTTTGGAGAATCGGCAAGTGTGACGCTTGAAATAGGGGCACCTAACGTTCTTATCCCATGCTCAAGTTTTTCGTTGGAACAAATCATTTTTGGTAGCCAGAGAACACGTTGAAGATGAACACCGCTCAGGGAGGCCTTCAACTTCGAAAACCGACGAAAGCATCGAACGTGTGAACACTCTTGTGGAATCAGATCGTCGCTGAACATTAAGAATGTCGAGTCGACAATTAAATTTGAACAGATTTACCGTTCATCAAATTTTGGCTGAACACTATTTGAACATGCGAAATGTCTGTGCCAAAATGGTGCTGAAAACAAGTGTCTTAATCTTCTTGACAGAATTGTTAATGAGCCAGATTTCATTAGCCCTGTGATTATAGGTGATGAATCATGGATTTCTGAATACGATTCTGAGACCAAGAGACAAAGTGAGGAGTGGCACAGACCAGAGGAAGTTCGATTGAGCAAATCGAAAATCAAATCAATGCCGATCTGTCTTTTGACAACAGGGAAAACGTCCACAAACGTTCGTTTCTCAGGGACTGCCAACCAAATTTTTACGCTCAACGCTCCATCATGATAACGCCCCACTACCTTCTCCTAGACCTCTCCTTAAAGGACGTAATTTCGGGAAAACATCCAAAAGAGCGCAACGGACATGCTGACGACTTCCAGGGCTGCTGCCAACAGTGGCAACAACGTCTCCATCGGTGTTTACCTGTCCAAGGGAACTGAAGTTCTACGTTGTGTATTCGATTCTTTTGTGTTGGGACGTGAGACATAAATGCAGAATTTAGTGCGTAAGAAAAGAATGGAACATATAATAGTTGTTTATGCATCAAGGGCATTAAGGCGATATTTATGCCGAGGGCGACAGAGCCTGAGGGTCTCCTGCCCGAGGGATTGTAAGTCGCCCGAGGGTTAAATATCGCCCCCTGGTACTGAATGACGAACTTGTCTAAACTTCTCACAAATCGGGAAGAAGTCCAAATCGGTAGAAAAAAAATTGATCAACCCACCAAAACTTTAGCGCTGGAATTGTGGCTGACTGACCGTTAGTTTAATCGTCTTCTACGACACGCAGTGCCTCTGCGGTAGGGTTATTCTAATGCACCTATTTCCTGATGGATTACGATATGAGAGTGAAAAGGTACACGCTCACTTAGGCCTCCAACTAGGGCCCTTTGTACGATCTCCCTGACTAGTGTCGTCCAACCCCTAAACGTCACTCAAGCCATCGCACACGTGAGATGAACCTAAGGATGCTGGAGGGGGCAGCGGCTCTAATCGTAACCATGTCCGGCCAGGATACTCCAACATGGATCGTCTCAGTGGTACTGGAGCGGGACATTTATAAAGCATGTGGTAAATATCAGTGCCTGTTCCTTCCATTGTTTTAGATACATCCGTGAAGATCAATATGTGAGGTTGGGATGTCACTTCCGCATCAAAAAAGATGTGGCAGCTTTCCCTAACAGGAATTGAGCGGAGAGTGAGTCCGTTCGCCCTTGTGGGATAGACAATCGCCTCGCCCAGAATTCGGGAGTGCCCCCTCAGTGCCTCTGATATTCAACAACCCCTTCATTTCAGACGCAAGGTTGCCAGTATGGCCTGCGCGTAGGGATCTAGTGGAGGCAGACCAAGAAGGGCTTCCAGAACGGCTGTGGGAATTGTGTGCATCGCACCCATGCAAGCAAGGCACATATTAAGAAGTGCTATGGTGGTTCTAAGCCACCAGACAATCGCTCCATAACAGAACGTCTAATCACGGCAATGTACAGCTACAAGAAAGCCCACAGTCTGCCAAATGTGCGGTCACACTGTCAGAAAGCCCTATTTGTTTTTTCCTCTTTGAACTGGATATTTTGGCTCTAATTCAATTGCCAACTGTAATGCCTAGATTATTCACTGACTCTGAAAACTGAAGATGACTTTGGAATATCCGGGGAGCACGAAGACCCTGTACCTTTATTTCTTTTGCGAAGAGAACTAGCGCCATTTTTTTCGGGTTGATGGATACATCACCGGCATAGGTACCCCAGCGTATAGTAATGGCTGTAGTTGAGACGACAGAGGAGGCTGCCATCAGGACAAACTCATACAGTCTTGGGTGGAGAATACGCATTCGTTCCACGGAAAGGCCAATTAAAATTTCTTTAAATTTGACTATTTTTATGATCTACCAATCCAATTTAAATGTGGGACCTTGGTCGAAAATTATCCGAGTATATGGGAGTCCATCGACAAGCACTGGAATCAGCACCGATTGAGTCCTACTGTAGAAAACCTTGGTGCTCAGATCATGGTACAAACATAAGGTTTTTTTCACAAACGCAGGAGGTTATCGTGGTCTTACTTGGTCCACAGTTTTCGATAATTGTGCGAAATGACTAAATCTCCGTTTACGCGTAGTGATGGTATGGTTGAATGGAACTAATTATTACAAAGACAACGCAAGAAAGAGCAGGACGGGAACAGAACTTTGTTAACGGGAGTCAGGAAGTGGTTTCCCCGATTGGCCGATAGCACCTACGCCGATCAGTTCTTACCTAATTAGTAATTAGTACATGTTTTGGAGTTGAACCGTTGGTATGGGCCAGGTAATGGACGCATAGCCATCCGTAAGTTACTTAAATGTTTACGTGAAGCTGTTATCGATTAGTGGCAAGAAATTAATAAATACTGAGGTTTATTTATCGAAATATGCTAGAAAGTATGGAAACGGATTTCCCTTGATAGGAAATGCGATACGCCGTGAATTGGTCCCAATTGGATTTGATCCGAAGTTGGTGATATTACCTACAAAGTTCACTGTGCCACACTTATTTTCTGGGTAAGCATCTTATTTAAGAGTATTTACCGCTTACGTCACTGAAAGAGTACAGTCGCGAATTTCGAAAATGGAACATTTTTGGGAAATGTCGCAAATTTTTATTGTGGGGGCTATTCTTCGTTTTAGACGGTCATTAATGATGACCATCGTTATCACGCAAACCATTTTCTAACGAATAAGAAGTTTGGCGATAATCTCCAATCCAAGTCGAATGTACTTATTTTAACTGACCTACAAACCATACTTAGTTGCTCGCCCATTTCCTTTTGCGGTATTTAGATTGTTCACTAGTTGCTATCCTGTTAGTTGTTTGGAACTCTGAGCTTAGGAACACCCTCTCGGCATTAAACACGTAAAGCGAGAAAAGCCTTTCAGGAAGGTTGTGTTGTTCTCTTGAAGAGCTGTAACATGCACATAATACCCCATCGTGGCAAGCTTCTAGGACGCTGTTCAGCGTTTGAGCATTTGGGCAGACGTCTTGACACCTTTTAATGATTTTCCATAAGGTCCTTCAAAAACCATTTTTTCACTTTCGATAAATTTTGGATTCCCGCGAAGAATTACTGCGCTTAGGGACCGGAAGTTTTTGAAGCTGCAAGTGGTGTGGTCAGGTTTTGAAGTTACTAAGAGGCCATCAATATTATCTCTGAGGAATTGAATTAGTCTCGGAGTAAATTAATTAAAGCTCAAAATACTTCACCCATGGTCCTCTAAAGCCGAAACGCTGTATGATCCTCAAAAATTGTTCATACTACCCCTGCATTGTTGCGCATTAGGGTACCAGAGATTTTCAACGGTCCATAAAGATAACTCATTTTCAGCTCAGAAATAGTCTATCCACCAGACCGTGGGAGACTCTTGAAGGATCTTGTATAGTTTTGAAGCTACTGGCAACAGTTATAGATTTTTAAAAACTTGCAATGCGTACATCACGCAGTACGTGACTGCTCCCGAAAATGAGCTTAGTCAAATTTTTAATGCACCCAAAATGGTACGTTTCGACTCGCGAAATCAAGCTTAGAAAGCCCGCTTCCTCACTTCTCGCGCTGTTTTATTCTCACCCGTTAAAGGTTGTGAAACGGAACTTTTTTTCTGAACCCAAAGACCTCGGCTAGCGTACCTTTTTAAACATTCTTGTCACGTGATCTGGTTTAAACAGAACGGAACGAAACCCTTAGGTTCAAAGAGATCGTGATAACTGTGCTTACTTTCCACAATACGGATCTTGTTATCGCCAGACAGAGCTGGGCAGTAGGTATTCGATTTTGTAAATACTTTTTGGTATTCAAATCCTTTAAAGTATTCAAATACTTTGTAATTAAATACTTTTATGGAAGCAGTATTTGTATTTGTAACTCAAATACTTTCACAAATATTTAGTATTCGAATACTTCGCAAAGTATTTGGATACTTCGTAAAGTACTCGAATACTTTGTATTGGTATTTGAATAGTTATGAAATGTTATGGACTAGAAACCAATTTCGAAAGAAAATTCAAAGGGCTGTAACTTTGGATCTAGTAGCCCAATCTTGGAACTGTTTGAAATTATGGATTATACAGGCCACATTCTATAAGAAAATCTTTTTTCCCGGTCGATCTGAGATAATTTTTTTTTCGAGGCTCAAAAAAAGGCAATGTATAACCTTCCTTTTTTTACCAAAAATCGACTACCTACACCAAAATTTCTCGGGAAAACACTTTTTTTATGAATTTTGGTGCGTAGAATCCAAAACAAATTCGTACTTTTTCGATTAGACTTCTCAATCAAAAGTTATGGACTAGACCAATTTCGAAAGAAAATTCAAAGTGCTGTAACTTTTGATCTAGTAGCCCAATCTTGGAACTGTTTGAAATTATGGATTCTACAGGCCACATTCTATAAGAAAATTTTTTTCCGTGTCGATGTGAGACAATTTTTTTTTCGGGCCTCAAAAAAAGGCAGTGTACAACCTTACTTTTTACCAAAAATCGACTACACCAAAATTTCTGGGGAAAACACTTTTTCATATTAATGTTGGTGCGTAGAATCTAAAACAATTCGTACTTTTTCGAATAGACTTCTCAATCAAAAGTTATGGACTAGAGACCAATTTCGAAAGAAAATTCAAAGGGCCGTAACTTTTGATCTAGTAGCCCAATCTTGGAACTGTTTCAAATTATGGATTCTACAGGTCACATTCTATAAGAAAATTGCGTAGAATCCAATACAATTCGTACTTTTTCGCTCTACCACTGAGACATATAGTCGGGTTGCCTCTTCTCACGCTTCATTCACCCTTTTACTCTTTCCTTGTACCTACCTTCATAAGGTCTTTTTAGCGCATTTTTTAAGAATTAAAAAAACATGTGCAATTGTTTCCGTTTTATCCGTCCGTCCGTCCGGACCCACTTCTACCGTTTGGAACTACTTCTAAGGAAATGGTCCTAGAGTCTTGGATTCAGGAGTACCTGAAAACCGAAACTTTAGCACACTTAAACGACTTTAACGAGCCCTTAAGGGGTTTTTCAGAACATCTAGAACCTTTTAAACGATTTAAACGTGCCTCTTTAAGTATCTTGGGTGGAGGTTTAAAGGGTTTTGTTTTCTTATCAACCTGTAAGGGTCAGGGGTTTTCTAGATCGCTTTTTAAAGAATTTAAAACATTTATGAGTCTTTAAAAGGTGACACTTTTGGGAGTATTATGGATTTCGTTTAAGGGTTCGTACTGATTTTTGTCAGTGAAAAATATAATTTGGTTCGCGATTTGTGAATAAATTTTAATTGCAACGAATACAACTTTTTTTTATTGACAATTCTTACATCATTGTTTTATTTCATATTACTTGATTATTAATCATTTTTAAATGTATATAAACACAAAATTGCAACAGGGTTTTTAATAATTTTTAGACAGAGCACGACTCTTTTTGGTGATCTTCCAAACTGTTTCACATTTCCAGTATTTCCAAGAGTGTTCAAGAAATGTTAAGGGTCTTTCAAAATCTTTAGGTGACTTTTTCAATAGCGTTTTTACCTTGTATACCAACTGTCAAGACTATTCCAACCTGTCCACTAGTAGGTACCTCTACTGGGCGGTTTGTCAAGGTTGGCTGGCAAAGACGCTTTGGTGCAGTGTGAGAGCGCGCGGTTACCCAATGGTATACGGTATGGTATCGGGATGTACTGGCCATTGTTCTGACAAAGTGCACAAAAGACTCAATCTCAGGTTTCGGTAAATTCCTAAGCAAAAAAAATTGGATTGTAATCACTAGATAAGATAAAGTAGATATCGGTTTGCATAGAAACCAAATTCCGATCTTGGTAGTTATTGTGGTGAGCTCATTAATTTTGGTTTTGAAATATTATTAATGGTGCAAGTTTATGACCACTCTGACCACACATGATTTGCCATTACTCATCGCTATGTCTAGGGTTATTGCGAGGAGGATTAAGCATATGCGCACTACTATGACACTTCTAATTTTGGGGAAACATGGATTCCGATGACTATCTCAGGTGAAATTCCACCAAAGGTATTTGTGAAAAAATCTAATCTGAGCTGAGTCACAAGCCGTTTTTGTCTGGTTCATATAATATTGGAATGTGACGCAATTTGATCAAGTGCAACGCCCGTTAATTAACAATGCTGTTCCAGGCCCATAACTTTTTTGGAAATCATTGTTTCTAAAATTATTACATTACGCATGATAGAAATAAAAACTTATTAATTATAATTATTTATTCAACTGATAAGGAATAATCTGAGGGACCTCCAGGGCAACTATCTTGCACCGAATACAATCATTAGTTAGTGTACAGTTTATTGTGCAGCACTGTTTACTGTATTGGTGCATTATGGTCCAAGAGAATGATATGGAATCGAGATTGGGCCCATTAGATGTTGTTTTGTACGCAGCAATTTTATGCGTAAGTTTTACAAAACGCCGGTCATCGCTATTAAAAAATTGGGCTTCACAGAAGGGGCGACGCGTTTTATAATCGGGTAACTGTTTATACTTTTCACCAACAAAAAACAAAATTGTTATTTGAAAAATAACGATACCGTTATCAAAAAACTGAACAATAGCATCATTTTTTTAATTACGTAAACGTAGTGTCTTCTGGGATAAGTAACCATTCATCACGGTCAAAAGAGTTTCAAAATGGACCTAGCGCTTCTTCTCAGATTAATGTGAATGTAGGTGGAGGGGGTAATTCTGTTGGACAACTTGTGGGGTGAAGTTCAGAGGTCACTAACTCTGTTTTCCTTGCAGGTGCATTATCCCCTGAGAATTTTTTTGGCATCCTACCGACTAATAAAGGCGACAATAGTGAAGGCGGCTGCTATACCAAGGCAAATTTTAGGTAAGGATCCACTATATCCCCAGACCTTTTAATATAGAGAGTGATCGCTTAGGGTATGTCACAGTTTCGCTGACCATCGTTCTAGAATCTTCGGAGAAGAAGATCATCGACATCCTAAACCTTTTGGCCTCACTTCCGTCGTACCTGCTGGGAAAATTAAGCTTCAGCAGAAAAAGCGCCGAGCTCAATTCGCAAACGGAGACGAAACAAGAAAGTGACTTAACCAGCTACACTGAAATTGTCTTGTCGGCGGTGAAGAGGACATCTGACGCCATCTACGGGTTCTTGGTAGCATGTGCGAATTTTTGGCGCCATATCATCCTACTCCCCCTAAAACTCAGCTTGATTCCCTTAAAAGCTGTGAAAAACTTAACTGAAACCCTTTTGAACATACCGTCGGAGCCAAAAACAGAAATGGACCGGCCTCATCAACAGTCGGTAATGTCTCATTGCGTGGACTACCTTTTCATAGTTTTGGCAAACTTCCAATTTTATTTAATTTATGCAATTGCCATAATTGAGAAGCTGATGACGCAACTGTCCTCATTGTTCATCTCCACACCTAGACACCTTTTCCACGCCCTCCAGCTGCTCTACCTCAGGTGCCTGCAGTTGTTGGCGGTCTCCGTTGTTTTTGTTTATAACACGGTGAGGTATACCTTCTTTTACATCGTGCTCTTGGTGAATAGAGCGGTGAAGAAACCTCCGCGAGGCACGCTGGAAAATGGCACTGACCGCGAAACGCTAATTGAGGAAAATTCGAAATTGAGAGAGGAACTGATCCGCGCCAAAACGAACAATGACAATCAGAAGTGCGAGCAGCAGATCAAGGACCTTGAAGGCCAGCTGAATGAAGTCCAGGTGGCTTTCGGTAAAGAACGCGAGGAGTACCAGAGGGAGATCGAGAAGCTGAAACAGTCCACTCACCCCACCGAGTTCAATACCGAACGGACGAAACTGCAGGGCGAGATACAGAGACTGCAAGCGCTCATCGCCGAGGTTCGCAGGGAGAGTGAAGAGGAGGGCCGCCTCAAAAAGAAGGAGGCGGTCGATTTGGATAACGAACGTAACCAGCTCCAAGAGCGCATCCAAAACCTTCAGCAGCAAGTCGTCTCGTTGCAGAAACAAAACGAAGCCATGGCCTCGTCGTACTCCGAGTCGCGAAAGCAAATGCAAGCGGAATTTGACAAGGAGCGTAAAGATCTTCTGCGCGAGATCGAAATTCTACAACGAAATCTGGAAGAAATGAAAGAGGCGCAAAGTGAAGGTAAAGAGAACGATCACCGCGTCGACCAGAGCAACAACGTCGACTCGGTGAACAAAGCTAAAAAAAAAAACGTCAACTCCGCTTACTAACCCTCGGCAGCCTCTTTCTTTTAAGTTCTTATTTATACTTTTGTTACTATTTTTAGCGCTTGCGCCATCCGCCTTTATTTTTATACCTTTGCGAAATACAAATTAATGCTTGACCACTCGTTTGTGTTATTCATTTCTACACCCAGATCTTCTTCAGCACAGTATAGGTACGTCCTGCTCTTGGGCGAGAATCAAACGATTCAGGAACACATGAGGGCACTTCAGGACTCTTTGGAAAAGCTGAAAATGTCCAACGCGAAGCAGGAGCAACCAGAGCCGACGACAACGGCCAGCTTCTCCGTCACAAACAAAACCTCGGCCAATTTTTCCTACGAAACCACGTCGCCCAGTGACAATGGAGGGGCATACTTCCAAAATACAATTGACGAGGTCATAAACCACTTGGACCAATTGCACCATTCAAACCATGAGCGATCTATGCTGCATGCGGAGGTGGAGAAGCTGCAGGCGTTAGTTGAAGATATGCAGAAGCAGAATGAGGAACGGGACAATATCGACAATGAGCGCAAACGGCTCCAGACTGTGCAGGAGCAAGTCGCGGAGTTGCAAAATCAAAACATGGTAATGGCGCTGTCGTACACCGAAGCTAGAAAATTGATGGAGGTGAAATTTGAGGGAGAACGGGAAGAGCTTCTCTACCAGGTGCAGCGTCTATTGAGCAAGGTCGAGGGAAAGGAGGACAACCCAAAGCAAGGTAATTGTTAGCTTTGGCGAATTTAGGCACGCGCCTAGCTTCTTCTCCCCACATTGCTGGATAAAACGCTAGAAAATAACTGCTAAGGCAACCTTTCTTTTCTAGAGTTTCATCTCCACGACAACAACGACGCAAATACTTGCATAAACAGACTCGATGACCTTTGCCATGTTTGCAGGAATATCGAAAGGGAATTAGTGAGGTTTACTGAAACCTGTCAAAATCTCTCAAACCTTCATTACCAGCAAAATGCAATCGGCGAAGTAGAAAAGGTGCTGAATGGGTTTGCTGATCGACTACTGGCAGAAGTACCTGCCGAAAAGCCGAAAGAGGACGACGAGCTGCGCAAGCAGATGCACACCTTACAAACGCAACTGAACGAAGTGCTACAGAAAGGAAAGCAAAACTTCGAAGCGCTCGAAGAGCGCAACAGGGTCATCGATGTCAACATGATCGTAGTCAAGAGTCAGATAGACAGAATTCACGACTCCCTCTACGGGTTGAAAGCGCACCTCGAGATGCGCGACGAAAAGTTGGACAGACTAAGAGCTTGCCACACGCGCGCAGTTCGAGTGCTCAAGGATGAGAGGTCAAAGGTTACAACTTTGCTTTCCCAAATCGACTCGATGGAGAAATCAATTGAAGACGCCGAAGACGACAAGTTAGTCCTACAAACGACTCGGAGCGAAAACGAAATGAAGATCAACGGCTTAGAGCGGGAAAATTCTGAGCTGAAACAGAATTTACGCAACCTCCAAGCGCAGATAGAAGAAATCGAGCGCGAACGGAAACACGAAGAGAAACTGCACAATGCTGTCATAACCGAATTAGAGCGAGGTTTGGAGCACGTGCAAAAAACGAGTGAAATGCAGTTGATAACTGTGGACAGGGAGAATTCTGCGCTGCAGCAGAAGCTACTCCAACTGCAGGCGCGAACTGATGAGATAGAAAGAGAACGAAAGCACGACGAAAAACTACACAAGGCCGTGGTAACCGAATTGGAGCGCGAAATGGAACGACTTCGGTCGGAAAACGAAACGAACGTGAAAACCTTGGAACGGGAGAACCTCGAGCTCAAGCACGACGTGAAGCTCCACCTCGCCACCATAACCGAATTGGAGCGCGAAATGGAACACCTCCAAACCGAAAACTATCACAAAACGCAAAAGCTGAGCGAAAAAATCAAAGAGCTCCAAACCGATAAGCTCCACGAGCGCGACGAAATGATTAACAGACTCCGAATGCACCACGAGCGCGCCATCAAGGAGTTCCACGAAGAAAAACTCGAACTGACCAATTTGCGTGCCCAAGTCGAAGCGATGGAGAAATCAATGGAAAGCGCCCACGAGGAGAAGCTAAACTACCAAGCCGCCTTGACCGAAAGTAACTTGAAGGTCGGCCGTTTGGCGCACGACAACTGCGAGCTGAAGCAAACGCTGAACGAGCTCCGAATGCAGATGGAGGACGCGGAGAGGCACTACGAGGAGATGCAGAAGCACGACGAGAAATTGCACGACGCGGTCGTCGTGGAACTGCATCGTGAAATTGAAGATATCGAAACGGATAGGGACCAGAAGGTGCAAAAGTTGGCCGAAAAGATTCAGGAATTGCAGACCGAAAGAATAATCCTGTTGGATCAAAACATGGATCTTCAGGGCGTGGTGGAGTTCTTAAATAAAGAAGTCGAAAAATGGAAGAAGGCTAAGAAGCCGTTTTTTTCTAGTAAGTAAGCGGATGTTGTGTTGTCCAAAAAATGTGTTTGTTATGTAGGTTAAAAAAATAAATGTATGTTTTAAAGGAACATGTGATTATTTTTAAGTCAAATAGAAATTGGTGGATGGTGGTGATTGACGTTGGATTCCAGTTCGCGCGTCCTTATCTGAAAAGAAACAAAAAGAAAGCAGTAATTGTTTCTGTTTAATTTTTAGTATGATTTGCGTTACCAGATGGTGTAAGGGGCGTTGTTGAGTTCTTGGAGTTCCTGGGGTAGGTCTAAAAGCTGTCTACGTACATTTTCGTCGTGGTGTTTGATTGGACGAGCCGCGTTAACCGATAGCAGTCACGATTCGTCTGCAGGCTTACCCGTAACAAAGTCTGGATTCTATAGTCGGTCCGTGCAGAAAGCCCCAGAGAGCCACATTCAATTCCAAATCGAAGAAGCGATTTCCTGTTACCAGGCAGGCGCCGGCGAGACCATCGGAAGGCAAGACCGAGATCGGAAACGTAAATTACAAGTTATTTGTACAGTTAAAACTACAATGTACATGCCGGATGAGGCGTTGTCACGTGGGGTTGGTCCGACTAACGGGAGTTAGGTCAGGGCCGGGAATTGATGGTGTACGGTGACGACGACTTAAGCACAAGCGCCCAGCCTCAGTCGCTTGTGTAGGGAAGGCTACTTACCCAGGCATAAGTGCACTAACAGCAGGTTATCTGGAAATTGGCCGTTTAAGTACCCATCTCCTAAAGTGTAATCTTGGTTGAACCGAATTTGTGCCAGCGTTGCGGATCCATTTTGTTGGACCCTGTTTGTACTAGAATGATGGCGTTCTCGTTTGCTCCCTCTGCGTTTCCTTGATCTGATCTGCCACTTTGGCTACTACGATTGCAGCAATCGCCAGGTTTTGCTCTCCGGATGTTCAATTGTTGGAGGCAGCATGCGGTTGACGACATCTGACGTAGCTTCGTTGGCTGTTCTACTGGGCGGTTTCCTTGTGTGCCCGACGTATTGTAAGGTTTGCACCCCGAAACGATACTTGTTGATGGTATTGTAGACGCTCCAGGACGAGGTGCACGTGTCTGAGGAGTTACCATAACGTGGTTTCAGATTACGTAAAGGTTAACTCGGACTCATAGTGCGCAATTAGGTTTTAATTATTAAAATATAAGTTATATATGGAGAAAAACTATTATTTAATAAAATATGCAAAATATATAAAGAATATTGCTACAAAAACATAAAATAGGTCGTGTAGGACGTAGCCAGTCCCGTTAGTTCTGCATTGTTGTTAAGAATGCAGTCTTCCAAATCTTGCCATGCGTTCCCGATCAGGCGTATTCCTATTTTGGGCAGTTAATTGTAAAATCTTTAAGCAAAAAAATCTAATTAGGAAACTGCAAAGTTAAGTTCTTTACCGCAAACACTAATTATGTCACGTTCGATTTTTTTTACAGGACTTTTTTTTCAAATTATAATTTCATCGCATCTACCGCACATACTTAATAGTTCACCTTGAATAACGTCAACGTAATTACAGAAAACGAGTTATATATTGGAAGAATTGGGTAAAGAGAACACTTTTCCTGCAATCAACGGTGGAGTACCTACATTATTCATTTATTTATAAAAAAGACGAACTATGAACACCTCGTTCTACTGACTTTCATGGTTCCCTAGTTCATTTACGTATAAACTAAAGTGATTATGCATGGTTTTGAGCTACTCAGTATGCAGCATTAATATTTCAATTATAGTGTGTAGGGTGAAGTTCACTTTCAAGGATTATTTGTTCCGGACACAGTCTATTGAAAGTGGTAAGTGGCTTCATTATTTTTCGTTTTTGTTGTTGTTTTAGTGCGTTTTATTTCATTGTTTATACACTGGCTTCAATGTTATAAGACCGATGAGAAAACAATCACTTTTTGGTAATTATTCACTCACATCCTTTAGTGAACTAAAAGATAAATTTAAAATGTGCTTTATGAGAGTAAAATAGACATCTCCGTGTGCTTATAATTGCCGTTTTCACCATGAAAACTCAAAATCCATGGTGACAATTGTTACAGTTTCAAGGCTTCTCGGTTTAATGTGTGACGGCCAGGCCATCCACGAATCGCTGTAATATTTAATACATCGTTTAATTTTCTATACTCCTACTGAACATCATCCTTAAGAGAACTCATTGTATCTAAAGATATAAATAAAAATACGTAAATCTGTCACGAATTCATACTGCGGTTGGCAGGTAAAACCAGCACTAGGAACAAATGGATACTGTAAATTTAAAAAACAACACATTTATGTAGAAAACATAATGGAATGTTGCCGTAGGTATCTTTATGCATTTAATTCAAAGTATGATCAGCATAATTATAAAAGAGCGATTTGTATTTCTAATGCGCTATAAATGACAATGCCCATGCTGTACTGGAATGTCGTTAATTTAGCAAATAATCTAACTGGGCCATATAATAACTAGATAGATGCAATAAACGCAAAGATAGAATAAGGAATACGTCACCAGTATAATTGCAATCGAAACAGCCACAGTAACTAGGTATTCGAAACGTAAGAATAACTAATTTGAATGAATTTACGACCACGCATCTGTCTAAAAGCATAACCGTGCCGTTAAATTCAAGAAAGCTACTTTACGATGCTAAAAAACTAACTAAATTTCTACTCATCTAATCAATTCAAAACATGAATAAGATAATATGAGCTAATTCTTTAAAGGATACAGTTGTCGAACTTACAGAATTAGATTTTCGGAGTCACAACCGTAATCGTCAACAAAATCGGTTGTCGGACGGTATGTTCTTCGCAGCAAAGCAAGTAGCGTAAGTAAAATTTGATATATCGGAGCAATTTACGAGATTGATAGAATGAAGTAGATTCACGTGGTTAATGTAGGTAAAATTTTCAAAGACGGTAGTGTAGAAACTCCATCTATCGCGTCGTTTGGCACTGTCAATTTTGTTAAAATGCATCTCATCAACGTACGGTGCGGCGCAGGTAAGTAAATACAAACAGAAAGGTAATCCGAGAGGAAGAACGTAAAAGAACTTATCGAGGGAAGGTAAACTTGAGGGTTAAGTGAGGATAAAGCCTTGACAAAATGTACGTATGCTGCGTAATCATCTAACATACCTCCTACTGTTTATATGCAAATACAGATCCGTAAAAACGATTCAATGGATCACACCCACTGACAGCCATCAGAAGAAAGCGAGAAACCACTCCAAAGGTAAATCGTAAAGCCAAAACACTAACCCTTACGGTAAGACGAAAGTCAGTAAATGTATTGGCGTACCAAGGGAAAAATCTGCACGTAAGCGATGCGAAAGCAGAAACTTCACTGAAGAGAAAAATCGTAGGCAAGGTAAAGTGTAAGAAGAAGGGATGGCATTAAGTGTAGAAAGGTGCTAAGCGTGAAATCTAGCCACGAGGGAATAACGCACAGTCTCTAACGGCAAAACAAAGAACTAATCTAATAACTAGGTAATAAATAATCTAAAACACTCGGAACAAATTTACTAGAGGAACCACTTTAGTTTAAACTAATTGATTACAAAGAAGATATCTAGATGGCGTAAGAATGTTAAGATACCAGATACCTATATAGAAGCACAATTCAAATAGTTATTTAAGTGGCATGTAAGTCATCGGACACAGGTGGGCGCATCATTATTATTTTTGAAGGAGGGGCCGAGCCCCTGGCGGCGCGACGCTACTGATTTAGTTTGTTGGAAGACGCAGTTCAGCTGCGGTCATTTTGGAAAAGCCAGTATTAGTGCTTAATGAAACAGTTTTAGAGCATTTTACACGTTTAAGGTGCTTCCCGTCTGAATAGCATAGAAAATAATTTTGTTCTTTAATTCAACAAACCAGTTCAGTGTAATAGAAAAGAAATGAAGTTTCCTAATGCTGTGAAATAGTTTTTGTGTTAGCGTTACTTGTACCTGAATATTGTACGACTGTTGTTTTGATCAGATTAAAAGGATTTTTAAGAGAAAACGGTAAGTAATTTTACGACTTTTTTGGTTTATTTGTGTCGACCATCTGGGTGTGGGGTAAAAGGTGTTTCGGAATAATTTTTTTTGTCATTGTGAATCAATTAATTGTGTGTTTATTTAAATGCATTGTACGGCCCAGATACGGTTCTCATGTTCAGATTCAATTTAGGTACCAAAAGAAATACTGGTTTATTTCCAACTATCAAATCAAAAATAACTAGTAGCGTCTCAACGAACGAGCGGATACGGATGGACGGGCGGACAAAGTGGCTACAATAGCGCACTTTTTTTAAATTTTTGTGGAAATGCGCTAAAAACTGTCTCTACAATTAACAAAATTAACGCTAGCGCATTTTCGAAAATGACATTTTTCCGCGCCAATCAGGAACACCTCCACGGTTAACTAGGTTAACTCCAAAGGCTATAGTTGCATCACATTTCATATATGTTTAGGTCTTGACTCTAAGCGTCCACTGTTACTGTTGGGGTTTTGCTTTGGCATTTTAGATATTCCACATGACTTCTGCTTGCCTTTCTGCATAAACATCGGCTAGTGATACATTGGAATTGATAGCTGTATAGACAGCAGTTCTCTTCTATGATTTTTAACGTTTTGGTTAATTCTATTTGAAATTTCCTTTGAAAGTGACAGTGACTAACGTTGTCACTTGTCAATTTCCTTTTGTTTTTTGTTGTTGCACAAGTAGTTACATACCTATTAAATACACGAAGGTTACGACTGGTGCATTAAGGTAATGCATTTAGAAGTTTTCGCAGCAAAATTGGTACATAATTATCGGTTTTGTTTAAATTTTTCTCTAAAACATTTGAGCTAGGACACAGATTGAGGACCAGGGTAAGTATATTGTCTGTTCCCCAATTCGGTCAAACTTTTGTACGTACCTACTGAGCTCTGAAAAACATTCGAATGTCGAATTTCGAAACGATTGGCCACTTCTAAAGCTATAATTATCGTGCGCCAATCTCCACGTTTCCTCTCTACGGGTTTTTGTGACCGTAAGCTTCGGAGACGATCTGCGCCACAGCATTGCTTTTAACCAAATCACAAAACTTTCTTCGCGATGACTTATGGAGCATGTCATTTTTCGGAAGAGCTAACCATTGGACCCAACATTGTTTTCGAATTGTTTTTAGACGAAAATAATTTATCTTAAGTGCAACGGGTGATATGATAACTAATAAGATTATATCCATTCTTTTGCACTATATATAGCCAGGAATTACGTTTTAAAGTCAGAAAGGTGTTAAACATGAATAGTTTCGTTATCTGTACTGTGATGGTATTGGCTTTAGTTGGCCTGTCAATGGCTGATGTATACTGCGGAACAGACACGAAAAACGAATGTAGCTGTGAATGGTGGTGGAGTTCGTGTTATTCGTGGGTCGACTGGTATTGTCTTTTTATGGATGAATTTTGTTTTAAGAAAGTAGTAACCGCTCATTAGTTTTTGATTTGGGAACTAGAAAGCGTTATTTCCATCTCTCCATTGTCACTCCTAATTAGTAATAATTGCTAACTCCCCTTTTAATAGTTTTGCAATATTTGCAATAGAGATGTTCTTATTTCATTCTCAAACTTACTTATCTTACTAATTGATATTTCTTTTCTATTTCAGCGGCGTATTAAATAGATACAATTACTGCGGAGCGTGGTACAGAACCTGCTGCAAACCTTGAATCCTAGATGGCGTTGCCTCTACAGTAATTAATTCAACTGTTTCTGTTACAATATACTTCCTATATAAAATGTGTGATTTAAAGATGCGTTTTTTTTTTTTTTGACAGCGACAAAAAAGAACGATACCGCTCAGTCTACAAGAAACACGAAAACTAATCGTGGATTTATCTTGCCAAAAAACACTCGAGCTTTCATTTTATCAAATAGATTTCCCTTGAACTTGACATTTTCCTTAAGTAATTTTTTTCGAAACACAGACATTTGGCAAAATCACGAGATTAACAAAGCCACTCGACCTTCTGTCTCGTGATTTTGCTATCTCGGTTTTTTTGAAAACTTACTGATTAGCAGAATGCGTCTATTATACCCATTCATATAAGATTTGTATGTGTTTGTGGAATATAATTTTTGGATATCGAATATGTAGCAATATCTGTATGCATTATTCGTATTAAATTTGTCGATAATGCAGGGCTTAGTTGATTGTATTTATTTAAACAAATCCAAAGTTTCGAAGGGTGCCCATTATGTATGGAATATAGCATGTATCTCGGTAAAAATCGACTGTATTCAAAATTTTACTATGTGAAAGTTGTTTACCATTTTATTCCCATAATAAGGCCGCATTCAGTTGTTTTTATTTTCAGAAAACAAATGAATAATGAAAAACAATTGAAATTTTTTAAATAGGAATGCACCCTTTCATATTAGTCACATTTCATAGAGATTGTTTTTCTCTTTTTAATGATCTAATCTAACATGTTAGTAAAGGGTACTATTTTTGTATAAGGAATCTGACCCTATTTATCTGGAAAAGCAAGCATTTTTGGAGAATTTCCAAAACTGCTCAAATTTCTTTCTGAGGGGGAGAAAATACACTTTGAAACTTCATCTCTGTGAGTGGACAAACTAAATAATTCAGTGTACTGTGTTAAGGGAACACCTCGACAAATGTCACTTTTCACGCAAAATTGTGCATATCTCACACGTTCGATATACGTCAATTTATTTATTTATTTATTTGCGTCATTTTTGCATAACGCAGTGATACAAAGATCCAAACCAGATTAGCATCTTAATGACACCGATTCAGATAAAC